TCCCTTCCAACCTCAACCGTTTTGCGATTCCGTGATTCTGTCACTGCCATCTCGTTGTTAGTTACGCCTTTTATTGACCTCCCTGCTTATGATATAGGGGTATGATTTGTGAGCACAGTTCCCACAGCCAGCTCAAGCATAGGTTTCAAGACTTCTGAAGAACTGTTCTCTGAAAGGCTCAAGATAGCCCTGTATTTACCTTCTTTGATGCAATTTTCATTGTGTTTTAGCATTGAACTGCACTAAACAAGGGGAGGTTGCCAGTGAAATCTGAGCTGGCTTTCTCTTCTGGTGGTTTTTTGGACAGTAGTTCCTTCTCCAGCAGAACCCTATTATCATACTCGTGGGCACCTGGGTTCCTTCCATTGGCAGGAACTGAGGAATTTGCTGTTTTGAGAACGGTAGGTTAGGAACACAGCTATTCTGCCACAAAGCAGAAAATTGAGTTCTGATGGTGCAAGCAAACCCCTCAAGCTCAGCCTGTTTTTTCCCCTCTAATGAAATGTCAAAGAAAAGCAGAACACGAGTAAAAAGGTAAGATGATTAGGGAGATTCAAGGAAGAGATTCCCTCAAGGACTTTTAAACATAAAAATGAAGAGAAAGCCTCCAGCGCATCTAGCCACCAAGCGAGGGAAGGTAGGAGGAGGTATGTGGAAGATGTGTTAGTTTCTGTTTGTTCTGTTCCCTCACCACGCTGCCAGAGACAAGGTACGGGAATAGCTAGACATTTGGTCTGACCCTGCATGGCTGCTCCTTTGTTCTATCTTCTCTAGTTGCTCCAAGAGGCCTATTTCTGTGTTGGTTAGTCTGTGGAGGTTTCCTGTTGTTACTGGAGGTATGACATCATTGTCATGCCTGATGTTTTCTCAGCATACTGCTAGACAGTGCTGTTAGCCTTGGCAACTGCAGTATCACGTTTACCTCTTAATCCAGAGCAACACTATTAAAAGACACAGCAATTATTCTGAATTAAGATTTGTCCAGCTGAGAACAGAGTTTGCCTTTCAGTCAGCAGTAACTTTTTTGTTATTTTAATTGGCGTGCCACTGAACAGGTAGCTGTATGGCTCATGACAACAGGATGTGTTGGGAAGGTGGGCCTGGGGTAGGAAGCAGTAACACAAGTGCAGTCAAAGGGAATGACACAGAGCTGTGGCAGGAGCTGATGGAAACAGAAGCTAGGCTGTGATTTCACCGTAGGGTTACACTGGTCTGATAGGGCACTAGCTCATTCATCTTCTGCATCCTAACCCCTGCTAGCCTTGTACTTGTACACAAGACTGTGCAATAGGCTGGATTAGTGAGGAAATTGGTGGGAAAGAAGCCAAAGGCAGACCACCCTATTGAGCAGCAGCCTACAGTCAGACCAGTTTCTGCTCCCCATGAAATCTTATCCTGGGCCTCCAATTTTCCACAAAAATGTTCCACCAAGTCCTTTGCATATGTCTGCATGAGACCTACATCTACGCTACTCACCCTAAACTTCTGAGTGTTTGCTGAGAACTTGCTTTTCCTTAAAGAAGCCAAGCAATTATAAAAGGAAAATGAGAGAGAAAAGTGTACATATGGGGCTCTCCCCTTCCAGCCCCCAAATTAATCCTCCATCCTGACCTTTCGATAAGCAATGCTTCCACGGTAAGACCATTCACTAGAGGATGGACTGATTTGTCTGGAACATTTTCTCTTTATTTTAAATACATAATGAAGTTTTCACTGGGCCAGGGAAAGCAAGTGATGATAGGTTAGTCCTAGGGGGATAAGTTCAGGATGTGTTGAGCACACAGAGCAAGGACTTACAGCCCATATGATTGCCTTAATTACTGGCCTCTTAAATATTCCAAGAAAAGACTACCTGCCTCTTTGAGTTCCCTCTTTTTTTCCCCCTCCGAATAAAACTGAAAAGTCTTGGAGAAAATTCCACAAAGCCTCATTGTAAACAAACAGGGCACTCTTTCTGGACAGACCTCAAGCTAAATCTGTAGTTTCTGCATTTGTTATGCAATTTGAGTGCTAGTGAATTGTGAGGCCTTGACATTTTGTGTAGGGGTAGCTATGTACTTTGCAGTGTTATGTGATAATAGACTATAGTCTCCGGTGTTTTATATCTGCTGTACGCTTGCCTTTGAAGGAAGATGAGTTAGTTGGAGCCTGCCTGCCTGCCTGCCTGCCTTCCTCCCTCCCTCCCTTCCTTCCTTCACTCCTTCTTGTTGAGAAGGCCCAGATTTCCAAAGCACTGTACCTATCACAGGTATGCTTTCAGAAATTCTCTGCGCTTACTTTGGGCTCGATATAGCATCTTTCAACGGGATAGCTGTTCCACCATCAACTTCGGTGGATGTTAAGTCACACTCTTTTTGAACTCTTCTGAATATCTGATCTTGCAATTTAGCGCTGTCACCCCTCCTGCCTTTGGTTCTGCTTCTGCTTGTCTCCTGCCCTTCCTTGGCTCAGATCCAATGGCTTCCCACTCCCTTCACTGAAAGAGCCCACTGTCTGCACAGTCCATCCTTTTGAAGTGAGCCGATGCTGCCTATTTCCCTTGAGCCCACAGAGCTAATCTCGGAAGCACAAATTCTATTGTCATTGCCATTTTTGCCCTGCCATTTCTGACTGCGGCGCACAAAGCAATGAAAACTGCTGTCATTTCAGCCAGAAACACTTGTTTCAAGTGACCTTGGGACCTTACCTTGTGTTTGCTGCACAGTTTCTGCAGAGGGACAGATGCTGAGCAGCCGCTTTTCCACAGCTAATCTCACACCCTGTGTTGCTTTGTAGTAGTTGACCCCTAAGTCTGTGGGGAGTATGCCCCATTGGAAGCAGAGCCTAGCATGTTGTGGGTGGAGGCTGTAGTGAGAGTATTTGACTTCAGATTTTCTTTTCCCTGTGTGATAGCCACCAACTTGTCCGTGTGCAGTGAATGGGTTGATAGGCTGACTTCCGATAATGTCTTTTCACTTTTCAGACTTTTTTTTTTTCTGAGGAAGGAGCCTTCTTACTGGACTCGGCGTATCCGCATTTGCTTGCTAGGGAGTTGAATGTCTTGGAGGGTAGTGGGGTATCTGCTGAGCTCTGACTTTTCAACTAGTCTCCGTAACTTGCTAGCAGGATCCTCAGTGCCCTTAAGAGTATGAGAGTTAAGATCGTTTTCAGTAGGGAATCAACCCTTTCCTTGGTAATACCATAAAAGATGCAGCAGCTTTCTCATTAGTTTTGGATCTGTGTTTCTCTGTGGTGCGCACACGTATGGCAGCTGTGTGCTGTAGCTTATCCATCTCATCCCAGCCATCCGGTTTGGTGCAACTCAGACTTCAGTGGCCTCAGACTTCAGCAGTGGTAGAGGAAAAATACTACTTTATGCTGCTATTTTTTCTGGGATAACCAGCCCAGATGAGAGGGGCAAATTGCTGATGGGGAAACAGAGGCACAGAGAGGAGAAAACCAGGACCGACGTGGAGGGGCAAGGAGATAGGCTGGCAGCTGTTGCTCCCCCAACCACTATGGCTGCTGACTACCACCTCTTAGGTCTGCTCTCACCCTATGGGAGCAAGACGTTTCATCGCAAGCCCCCAGCTCCCAGGGTACATGTGCATGGCTATGTGAAAGTCACGTGCAGGCATTCTGTCAAGGAAGATGCCTGCCCAGGCTGTTGTTCCCTGGCATCAGCTCTGCTGCAGGAGCATGATCCATCCACCAGCCTGGAACGGCTGCCTTGCACTGCACCTTCTTCTGCTGGAGGAGCTTCTTAGAGTGGTTTGATCGCTGCGAAGCCATTTCAGAAAACTGACAGTGTTTGCTGATGCTGAGCTCATGCAACTGTGTGAGTCACGTTGTGTGCTGGTCTCGTGTTTGTGCAGCGTGTCAGTTCGGCTGGGGAGAAGAAATGCCAGGGCCTGCTTAAGAAAGAGCTGCTGTATTATTTTCTTATTCAGATGTTTTTTCTCCCTCTCGTCATTTCCTTAGGTGTGCAGTGGCTTTCCTACTTAGGGCTGATTGCTCTTTCAAAACAAATCCTTATCCAGCGAGATAAGTGCCAAGGGTTACTCATAGGGGATGCTCAGGTCCTCCCTACCTGAGCACTCAGATATCCCAGGCCAACAGCTAATGCAGGGAGAATGACTTGAATTTCTGTGTGCAAGGCCAAGCTCTGACGTGTTTCCTCCTTCGCTGCTCAAGCAAAACTCTCTGAATGCAAGGAAAATTCTCCCTAAATTAAAAATAAAAGTGAGCCAGGTCTGTGGGATTTTGCAGCCAGAGATTAAGCCCTCTTTCTATAGCTTCCTCACCAAAAGTGATGAAAAGCAGCCCAGGCAGATCTGTATTAGCTGTGCATGAAACACAAAAGGCTCAGAGAGCAAAACATTCACCGACTCAGTGCTAAGCTGAAGCAGAGCCCCTGCTCCACTTTATTTGGAAAGCTCTCTATGTCTCTGCCCTCCTGTCCCCCAGGAAACTGCATGTTTTGGCAGCCCTGCTTAGAGCCCCCTGCGGAAAGGTGTCAGTAGCATTAGAGAAACCCAGATGAAAACCCAGTGAGTGCCCAGCCCTAAGTCCCCATCGCTGGGAACAGTTGAACGGACTAAGGAAGAGATGTCTGAGTATCTCCTCTCACTTCATTGTTGGCTGCACCAAAGTAGCAGGGCTCAAGAGAAATGGTTTTCCTCGGGGGAAAGGGGATTAAAAAGTCACAGTAACACCGCTAATAACCGTAGGGTGTCTTCCACTTTCAAGGCATTGTAGTAACCTTAACAAATTCCTCTGAGATACCTGACTGTGACAGCGGCTGGCGTTCTGGGTGCCCGTGTGAAGAAGAGTTCATGACTTTTTGCAGCTTATCCATCAGGATTTGCAAACTACCGCACCAGTATTGTGCTGGTGCCAGAGGACTTGATGGCCAGGGCAGGGACTGGCAGGTGAGGCAAGCAGTCTTCAAGGGCAGGAACATGTTGCTTGTAAGGGCTGGGCACCCACCACGCTCTTTGCATTTTCTTTCTTTTTTTCAGGAGCTTCAGAGAAATCCGCAATTGATCATGGATGGAGTGAGCAGATTTGACATAATGCAAGGAGAAATAGGTACGGTCATATTCCTGTTTTGCAAAAGATCAGCACAGAGCAATGACTTGTTGCTTTGCTACGTCCTGAGTGTTTAGTGGAAAGCTGTAGATCATGGTGGCTGCAGTAAATAAACAATTAGTGCAGGTCGCTCCAGACCTAACAAGTCCATACAGAATTTATTGTAGATGTTTAACAAGGTTCCCAAATTCAGCAGCTCTAATCCCTGTTGCTTTAGTTATATGCCACCTGCCCTCTCTGTATATAAGGACAAGCATAGAAAGGGAGGCCCAGCTAAGATCAGGCAGAAGGTCACACAAAGGTCAAATGCAGTTCTGAATAAGCAGGTACAGCTCCAACATGTGCAGGACTGAATTTTATCTTTTTATCCCACTGTCTTCATCTGGTGATTCTCAGTGTTTTCTTTCAAAACTCTTCACTTTTATGGATGTTTCTGCCCATCTTCTCTGATACTTATGCCTGATATTTGTCTGCCCTCCTGTACTGGTTCCATCTTTCTCTCCCAGCCCATTACCTTGCTTGTCTTTGGGAGCAGCTGTGCTCCAACAATTCATTGTCTTTCCATTTCTCACTCCAGTGAGAGGTTTGTGAAGCCTCTTTTGAAACCTGCAGGTCCCAACATGACAATGTAAGGTTGGAGGAGCATAAAAGCAGAAATGGATGACTATGTAGCAGTATAGTTCCAAGGGACATTGCTGCTGAATGTTGGGTGGTGGTTCAGTGTTTTGGTAGGAGAGAATAGAGCACAGAAGAAAGCTGGTTTCTTTTAACAAACTGGTTCTTGGATGTCTTAGATGTTGAAACCCTGTCTTTTAAAAAGTTATTCATGGACCATAACAGTGGGGCAATGAATAACTGACTGAATATATTTGATTCTTCTCTACCTCCAGGTAACTGCTGGATGCTGGCTGCCCTGGGCTCCCTGACGCTGCAGAAGCGATTTTTGGAAAACGTTTTACCAAAGGATCAAGGATTCCAGGATGATTATGCTGGTATTTTTCATTTCCGGGTATGTATTCTGTGCTGTAGCAGGACTGCTCTGACTTGTCTGGCTGGATTATACAGAGAGTCCAAGTTGCAGTCCCAGATGTCAACATCTTTCAATGTTTTGTTCCTTCAGTGCTGACTCCCAGGTCAGAATTTTCAGAAACTCACATTTGATAATGGGCCCCAGTGCTCCACGCATTGTCAAACTTTAGGGAATTCGAAGCCCTTTTCCAAAAGTTATGACAGATGACCAGCTGCAGAGGTACACGTTCCAGCTATTCAGATGGATTTGTGTCCATACACATTTGAGATGGCTTTCTGACACCTGATTTAATTTGGGCTGTTATGTCTGTCAGCGCATCTGAGTTCTTTATCTATTTGGACTCATTTTCTATTTCTCCATATACTTGACCTTGCACTTTCAGCTGGTGGAACTTGCTTGAAATTACAAGCCCTTTGAGGCAGATCAGAGGAATTGGCTTTTGACATTTCAAAAATAGATTTGATTTGGACAGACCAGCAAAGCTCTTTAGTAAATCTCACTTTCTACCAGTTCTTCAAATTTTCTGAATCATTCAGGTGGGCGACTGGGGTACTAACTGGCAGGCCCTGCTCGCTTGTTTCTGAGAGAACCAAATATCATATGGGATTTGAAGAACATGCAGTATTATTAAGCCCAGGAAAGGAAGCTAAGTTGGAGGCAGAGAGAGTCCTTTGGCCATTCATTATCCCCTTTTTTCACAAATCTGTTTCGTTACGTGCAGTTCAGAACTAAGCAAAGAGCTCTAGCAGCGACGCTTCTTTGACCCGCTGGAGTTCTCATGTAGCATCTCAGGAGGATTATCTCACAGTCGATCTAAATATTGCTGTGCTCCTCCGCTCCTTGGAATACCAGATGTTTCTCGCTTGGCACATTTCCAGCATGCAGAGGTGGACTGTGTAAAATGAACCAGCTGAAGGGACACCAGTCCTGCTTAAAACACATTAAAAGGATGCAAGCTAGATTTTCTTCCATTAGAGCTTTGAAAAGGTTAGGAACTATTCTTAAATCTTAAGCAGTATAAATACTTTACAGTATTTGAAAATGTTTTCCCTGTCATCTCATCTGCAAATCAATGCAACTGTTTCTGGCTTTCCTCAAGCAATAAACCCCTGAGAAAGCTACTCTGAATGGAAATGCCTTCTCGGCAATGCCTTTCAATTATTCCATCAAAGATATTTTACTGCCATCCACAGGCTAAGCCGGCAGTCCTCAGTTCAGTGAAGAATCACAAACAAGGCATATCATATGCTAATATAAACATTTTAGCTTACAACTTTTTCTCACCTTTTTGCGTCTGGAGCACAGTGTCTCTCAACAACATGAAGAGCTGCTCTGGGCTTCCTACGTAACCCCGGCTGCTCAGCTGGAAGAGTTAAGAGTGTTAAGCACTTCAGCAATGGTATTTAAGAAGGTGACATTTTTGTCTGGGGAATAATTACAGTGACATTATTTCACGAGGAATTAATTCAGTCCTGTGTTTGCACAGAAATCACTTTATCTAGTGCAGAAACTCTGACATCTCCAAGACAGAAAGTGCCAGGGATTTTGACAATGAGCAGCAGCAGCTCGGCCTTCGAAACAAATGGAAATATTCCTCAGGAACTGTAGGGAGTTATGGCAGAGTGCGTCTGCTCAAAATGGGGGTGACCTGTCCCTAGCGTAGATGTCCCTGCTCTCAGGAAGAAATTGAGGAAATCTTTAAAGACCACAAGTGGTCAAGACCTCAGTTTCAGGATTCGTCCAAAAGGCACCCCCTAACACCATACTGTCAGTTTTCTTCTGCAGAAGAGGGTAATTGAACGACATGATATTTTCACCTTGCTTGCTTCTGGAACTTGGTTTCTTTAAGAGCCCTGTGAAGGAAGAGGGGAAAAAAAAGAGATAAAATACCAACAAAATGCTCCCCCTCTGACCAGCAGCACCCTATGGTGTTGTCATCTTGCATCTCTCCATTTCTTTTTCTTCCTCTTCTAAAAACAAGAAAATAAAGTCCTGATTTAAAAGGATCACTACATAGGTGGAAGTGAAGAACTTCCCTCTTTGCAGCCTGCCTAAATGGGGCTTCTTTGTTCAATATACTCCCATGTTCCCCGATGCAGTACCTGAAATCCTGAGGGTATTAAGGCAGAAATTTCATGAAGAGGAATTTCGTGAGGAGCCACTGCAGAATGGCTCCTCCTATATCACTCTCTCAGTCCCAGAGGCATTGTAGGACCTTCTATGAGGAAAGACATTTGCTTTCTGGCCTCTCCTGACCTTGCAAGTTCAGATGAGATAATGGCCTGAAGGTTTGTGGTAGCTGGGGCGAAGCAACTCTGTTTATTCAGCCAAAAAAAAAAAAAAAAAACAAATCAGAAGGCCACGATCAAAAGGCCTCCAAGCTTGGACTCCCTGCTGAAGATCACCAAGGAATCTGGCTTTTAGAAAAACGCCATTCAGGGGATTCAGACTGCACTAATCCCCAGAGCCAGCTCCCTATTGTTCTCTGCAGGTGTTTGACCATCATGTTTTCTCTTGAAGCACTACATGAAGGTGTGGCTGGATGTCACACCTTTTCTCCATACAGACCTGCTGCCAGGTGTTGACTGGTGACTGGGAGGCACCTCAGGTAACCAAAAGGACAGCTCCTTTTGGAAAGATATAAGATCAGATCTTTCCAGTCCTTGCATGTCTCTTTTTCCAATGCAGGCAGCCTGATGACAGGCTTTTCCTCCAGCCCCACCCTCCCAAAGTCGGGCAGAACTCAGACCCATCTTGCAATTGGGTTCAGAGCCCCAGCTCTGCCACCACCTTCCACTGCCAAGGCAGAAAGTGAGAGGTCAGAGTGAGGCAGGAACACTAGCATGACCAAACCCACTTTCCCTTGAGCAAACTGGAAGCTGCTTTGCTCTTCCTGGCAGATCAGGTCTTGTGCTTTTCTAACAGAACAGCTTATTCTGGGGCTTTTCATTGACCAAAGCCATGGAAATAAAATCAAGATAGACTAAATCTATTGCTGGCATAATTCCACTGGGGTCCTCAGCATTACTTCAAATAAGAGCTTGGCCTCTTATGTTTGCAAATCATGCTAAGCTACATTAATCTGCTAACGAGTCTGGAAATGGCTTCTTTAGTTCGTCCCCACAGATTTCCTTCCCTGGCTTCTCCCTTGAAAGGCTGCATCAGCTGGATCAGCTGGAAGAACACCCGTTCTGTCCGCATGCTGGAGAGACTACCTGCATCCTCCTTATCTATCAAGGATAACACCTCAAAAGTAGTATTTATTCACTACACTGTCCCTGTCTTTGACAGTGTGTGTCAGAGTCTTAACTGAAACACAGAGAAAAGAAAATCTCAAGACCGGATCATGGCAGACGCTTTCTGGCCAAAAGATGTGCTGCAGGGAAAAATCCAAGTGCAGCTGAGGAAAGAGGCTTACTAAATTGTCTGCATGATTGTTATTTATCATCCTGAAGTCTTGCTAATGCCCAGTAACATTAGCATTAGTTTCTCTTGTATCTTTCCTCCCATTGATTGCAGAACTGCTTATATTCCCAGACGGCTTCCTGTGCCACTGAAAAATCTGGCCACTTGGTAGCTTGTTTAGCAATGTAGAACATTAGGCTGAAACAGCTCAGAAGAGAACTTGCATAGATCTCTGTTTTAGATTCTTTCCTGGGCTATTTCAGGAGGCTGTTGTTTGGCATGAATATTTGCTCTTAAAAGAGGCTCATTCTTTTCTATCTCTCTCTCTTTTGCAGTTCTGGCATTTTGGAGACTGGGTGGATGTAGTGATAGATGACCGGCTGCCTTTGCTAAATGGGAGATACCTGTCTGTACATCCTCGAACATCAAACGAATTCTGGCCATCCTTGCTGGAAAAAGCATATGCCAAGTAAATATACCCAGTCTATTCTTCCACCCAACATTGACTGCTTTATATGCTTTTTTTCACTGTTTGTTTTACCCAAAACATACAAGGAGGAGCTCAGGCCTGCAGTTGTGTACGTTGTGCTGCGCTTGTGTAAGGGCCTGTGGCTGTACACAAACACAGGACCGGCATAACCTGGAGGTGTAGGTCTTGGACTGAAGATATAAACGTCTCCCGCCCAACTCTGGGCTGTCAATGTCTGAAAATTAAAACGACCAGGGTAATACTTGGTAACACAGGAGGGCTGGGCCTCCCCTCCTTACATCAAGCAAATTTCTTTACCTCTTTTTTCCCTCCCATGTGTCTGTTTGTTTAAAGCTAGAGATTATGAGCAGGGATTACCTCTGTTTTCAGTCGCTAATCAAGGACTACATAGATGTTGGGACCAGACAATGAAAGGAATCCTGACTGAGGAACGCGCCCAAGCACAATACATGCACAGCTCTGAGTCTCCAGTCAGCCCTCATCTAGCACAGACAGCTCCAGCTCTTAGCTGAGGTCCCCAGAGTACTGCAGGGTTAATGATGATTAGTAAAGAAATAATGGTTAATAAAAAAGTTTTCTGGGAAGTGAGAGGATCAGAATGTGGTCTCGTAGCATCCATAGCACTGTCCACTATTAAATGAGCTGAAGTGAAATTCCTGTGCTGGGGGGAGGTACAAAGGGGTACTTTGAAGACGTACCCTACATCAATCAAGCACGTATAACACATGCAAAGCAGTAAGGAGGGGCTGGACAAAAGAGCTAGTTAATTTGGCAGATTTAGTCAGGAGTAATCAAACATTAAACCCAGGGTTTGAGCGGCTTGGGGGACAGAATGTGTTTTGCCCTGAGATACCTCAGGAAAGTTGACTCAGGAGTCAGTATCAATTTGCCGCATACGATTGTAATTACAAAGCGAACCAAAACTCTATTAAATTAAAGTTGCAAAAGATGCTGTTTATGAGATTCCCATTTGAGAAGTTTTTCCCTAGTGTCCGTGACAAATTCCTTTCATCAACATAGGAGAAGGACGACCCTTCAAAATACAATTAGCCACAGACTTCATTTGATTGCGTCCATTAAATACAGTGTATATGGTGGGGTTTAACAGCATGCTCTAAGTATGCTGCTTTAAGTATGGCACGTTCTAGCTTATTTGCTGCCTCAATAAAAAGCACATGATAAGAGCTCAAGGACTGTGTTGGCAATATTAAATTATTGCCATATTATTGCATTCTAGCAGAGTGAATTGGGAGCAGAGCTGTAAACTTGTTTCTATCTTGTTTTGGGAGTATAGGCAAATACCTTTGCCTCTCATTTCTTCCTATTTCCCATTTGCAAAAGGAGTACTGGTCATCTTTATAGAGTCGTGACAAAGTGGAATATAGGAACTAACAATTTAGCTCACCAGCCCTGAAAACTTCCGTTTGAGCTAGTCACCCTTGGCTCCTTTTCTGTTCAAAAGAGAAAAACTGGATATTTCAGGGTGAGATTCAGCTCATCTCCCTTAAATGTCTATGCAGGCATGAGATGAACCTAATTATTTTCATAAATGACTCTAGACAGCTGTCTCCAATGTGGATAAATACAGAGGAAAAACTGCCTCTTTGCCTGATTCATTCCACAGGGGATGTATTGTGTCCGGGCATGTATTTCGGTTGTGTTTCCTTTCATTACCTGGCCCCAAAGTCTACACACCCTAGGCGTCCCCTATGCTCACCACCTCACTGCGTGTCCATTAGGGACACTGTCATGGTGCATTGCTTATTAAAATACAATGTAAGGACTAATTAACTTCTCTTTTATTCAGATTGTGGGGCTCCTACCAGAACTTGCACGGAGGATACATTTCCAATGCTTTAGTTGACTTCACAGGTGGAGTCCAAGTACAGTTTTCATTAAAGGACCCTCCTTCTGATCTGCAGAAGATACTGAAAGCAGCTGACAGATCACAGTGTCTGATGGGGTGTAGCACCTCAGGACAGGTAAATCAGAAGGCGAGGAGCATATTTACATAAAGGTTGCTATTTTGAAAGGAACAAGTCATGCATATTCTCTCTGTATAATAGTTACAGCTTATGGATGCCTGGAGAGATCTTAGAAGTAGAAAGGAAATAAGGCTCTGCAATAAAGAACATAAAGAGGATAAGGTAGATATAGAACTAGCCAGTCAGAGACGGTCTTGTGGATGCTCTCCTGGCTAATTCCTTTGCAACAGAGTGGTATCCTCCTGAAGTAGGACTCATTTTGGCCTCATGCCTTTGCAATCAATTTCTAGAAAGGCCAAAATGCACCTCTCTTCTGCAAGGGGATGCTATGATAGTGATTTATAGGCTACTGGTATAATGCTGGAAAGTTGCAAAAGGCGTTGTGATGTTTAGCAAGTGTCTTGGTGAAAGCTTGCCAAGGGTTTACACGGGATGTAAGGGAAGACTACAAAGCATGTGGCGTTGCTCCTGTAGTACGTGGTTCATCAGAACACAATGCTCTGCGATTGCGAGTGAGGCAAGGACTAGTCCCTCAAATCAGGTGGCTGATGCTGGGCTTTAGGCTGCAGGGAAACTCTGGGGCAGTGAACCAGCCGAAGTCATTATGCAGTTGCACCAGCTGTGGACTGTTAAACAGTTTGAAAATATATCAAGACATGTAGTTTTGTTAAATTTACTATACTTTTTTATGGCTACAGTGGGAACAACTATCATATCCCTCAGGATCCAGTATAGCTGAGATACTGACGTAGACAAACACAAGTCTCCTTTCGTGCCATGTCAAATGCCAGTTCTGGGAGTTGATCGTCATACCTTTGCAGTGTGGTGGAGAGCTAAGGGTTGTGCTTTCTCCCTTCTGCAGTTGAGGAACATAGAGCTGAGAAATGGGATTGTGCAGGGTCACGCCTACACTGTCACAGGAGCTACGAAGGTAAGATCGGGAACCTGTTCCTGTCCAGTAGTCTCTTATCACAACCACCACTGCAATGTGAAGGGCAGTCACACTGCTGTACCAGTCAGGTTTATTTTAATTAACTGTACACTTAGGAGGGAGTGTTGTAAGCATTTGGTTGGAATTCCAGTATATCCCAGAGAGGCTTGCAGGAGATGGAGAGATTTTGGCTCAGTGGGAAGAAGAAGGATGTCAGGATCCTAAAATACAATATTTCTTAATGGGACAATGCAATTTAAATTCAAAAATCGGGGTTTTTTTCAGACTCTTTCAACAAGCTAGAGCAAAACGGAGAGCCAATAAGTATTTCTGGGGATTCTCATTCCACATTGACACTTAAAAATTTCACTCTTCTGTTTTCAATATAGAAGAGAATGGAAGCATTAGCTGAAATTCTGGGATTTGTCACGGGTTGCAAATCTACATTTGTTCAGATCAATCACAAGCAGCCAAAAATTGCTATGTGAAAAGTTAAGAACCTGCTAGTTCTAGAACAGCATTTCTCCATCTTTTAAAGCTGTTCTACTCATGCAGAATCTCTGCTGGCCAAATATTAATATTCTCTGTCTGGAAAAAGGACCAATTTATCATAGAGAAGATAAAAGAAACAAAAGTTTCTTACAGCCAAAAGTGGCAACACAGCTTGCCCCAACAAGCTGCAGTGCACATGGGGAGTGCTATAGCGAGCAAGACAAAGAAGGAAACCAAACAACGACCAAGCTGTCAAGGTAGTTATAATGCCTTTTAATCCAGGAACTTAAAGTGCTTCAGAAAGGGGACATCGTTTTCCATAAATTGTTTTCTCACTTCTCCCTCTTTCTTTGGTAGTTTGCAATATGAGCCTGGCTTTGGTTCATGAGGTTCGGCTCGTTTGGTTATGAGCCTCAGGCCCTCCGATGCTTGGTGTCATAGTCAGTGTATTTCTTCCCTGACCACACTTGCTTATAGCCAAGAGGCTAAGAAACGATAGGGCTGGGGTTGCCAGGCTCCGAGGAGGGTCCTAGCTGGCCCTCCCCATGGAGAGGATAGCAAGGATCCCAAATCTTGTCGGAGAGAGGAGCAGGGTATTTTAGCTTTCTTTTGCTCACGATGTGTGCAGAGAGGAGAAATAGGCTCTGCCCCACCTCATAAGAATGCCAAGGCACCCTGGGGGCATCGAACGTGGAAATGATTTGAGGCTGGCCAGAAGGCCGTGCCTTTTTGTCTGGGAAGAGTCTGCTACAGCATTTGTCTCCAGCACTGCCTGTGTAGTTGAGAGAGCCCCAAACATTGCAAAAGGTCTGCTCCTCCTCTCCACTTCCACCATGCGGCTCCACTGGCCAAAGTGAGCTGCTTCTGGCTTAAAACACGCAGAAACTCCAGCTGCTGCAAACCACAAGCCCCAGTTCTTTAGCAGAAAACACTGTGTAAAGAAATTGAAACCGGAAGTCAGAGGTTGGAGTGATGCACTCTTGGGAATACCACAGACACAGAAACACAGATTGCGTTTACCAACGTCTCTCCATGTCAGCTATCAGCGTTTATACACTCCTCAGTTTGGTGGCCTAGTTCTCCAAAGTCTCTAACTGCCGGCTCACAGCATGAACTGTGCAGAAATAGCAACTGGATTTTCCCAGGGTTTTTGAAGCCATGTGGCGTGACAGGCATGTTGCAGCTTCCTCCCGTGTCAGCCTGCTGTTCGTTGTCCTCAAGAAATAAAAAAGGGTGTAGTTTTCTCCCACACATCATTCCATTACAATGCAGCAAACGACATTGGTTTTCAGTTGCAGCCAAATGAGACAGAAGTTAAACCAGTCCTCCAAGGTATAGAAATTGCATTATATTACATATCCCTTCCCTGAATACCATGGTCATGGAAAGCTGTGACTGTGTTTGTTCTTTCCTCTTTACAGATACGCTACAAGAATGGCTGGGTGTATATCATCAGGATCTGGAATCCTTGGGGGCATGGGGAATGGAAGGGCCCCTGGAGTGATGAGTATGGCTTTAAAGCTTTAATCTCATAAGGAGAGTTAGTCTTTTATAGGCTTATTATAAAGGAGCTCTGCCTAGGACCCATGATGATGAAGCAGACAGTTCTAAATCAATTCATTTATAAGCCCTACTTCCATCTGCAAAGCCACTGCCTACAGAAATCCAATTCAGGCCTAGGAATATTAATGCAGCATTGATTTTATATGTGCTCCTCACTAGGCCTTGTTCAGGTATCCCTTTTTGTCTAAGCGTACGGTTGTCCCAGTTGATAATTCCGGATAAGTCATGGATGAGAGAATTGTTACCACCTGAAGTAAGCTCTGGACATGGCCCCAGCACTGGCTGGCTGATACTAGAGAGCCTGCTGCAATCGTATATCTGCCTTCCTGCTCTCCCTCCTCTCCCATGAGTCTGAATCTGGGGAGGCTGATAAGTTAGCAGTGTGCCCCAGAGTAGGGCAGGATTTTTATGCCGTATTGGACACAGAGAGATAAAAAGGGCCCTCGGTTATTGCAAAAACAAAGTACCACTGGTTGAATCGAACTGATCTCATGGTTCCTGCATGCAGCATTGGAGAGGCAAGGACTACTTTGCTCTTGCCTGTGCATACTAACATCTCTTCCCAGAAGACGACAATGATACAGAGGAAAGATTGCAATAGTTTTTTTCTTTTTCTTTTTTTTTTTTTTTTTCAAAATCAGTGCTGGTTGCCCAGTGGAACTGTATCAAGTGTTTTGCTGATCAGAGAGATGTACAGGTGTCACCCTTATGTGATTTAATAGCAAGAATACCACCTCCCCCTGGTACTACGAGCGCTTATAAGTCCTCTGCTGAGAAAAAAGTCGGGCTAGCATGTAACATCTGGATGGGCCAGTGGGTGATGCAGACATGTTTAAGACTGGGATAATAGCTATCTGCTCAGACAGTATCCTCCCGTTTTTTGGAAGGGTGAAGTGTAATCCTAACTGTAATTGAAATGTCGGTAGAGTGCATTCACAGGTAAACTACGTAAATCAATAAATTATTGATTCATGCTCTGTTTATTTATCTTCTACTCTGCAGAGAGTACAATTATCTCTTAATTATAAACCTGCTGTCTGGAAATAACACAACTGACTAGCTAATGCTCTCTCTGCATGGCAGTATAATATCAGCACTTAGGAGTGCTAAGCCTCAGTACCTTGCTAACCTCTCAGGTTTGAGGGCGGGTGATGAGGATGCAGAGGGCAGAGGCAGGACTCCCCATCCGTGGGTGGGTGACTCAAGGGCAATTATAGCAAAGGACCAGCACTTGGTTTTCTGGCTTTGGCTAAAAAGGTAGTGAGCGCTGTCCTGTTCCCAACATGCAGTTCGCCTATCCCTCCTGATCCCTCACAACTTGACAAGCTGGGTAGATGAATGGGTAGGCCAGGGAGACGGAAACTTGTGCCTCTCAAAACTACTGGTTGATTTGTTTCGGTTTGCAGGTCTCCCGAGTGGGATCATGTTGAGCCTAAATACAAAGAAGTCCTCTACAGAGAAAAAAACGATGGAGAATTCTGGTATTTTCCTGTTGATGCTTTCGTCTACCAGGTTTTCTGTTGGCATTCGTTATGGAACAGGGTCTGCTAGGCATTAATTTTCTCTGCTCTTAGTGATGGTTCCAGGACACCACTGTGTTAGCCCTATGCGAACAGAAAAGTGAAGGTTTTCCAGGCCCCATGGTCTCAAAGTCTGACAGAAGGCAGGAAAGGAAATAGACCTATGGAGTCTGGACCTATGGAATAGAAATGGAGTTGTCCAAGATTAAGCAGCAGGCTGGTAAAAAAGAGAAAGAACTGAAAATTCAGCTGCCTGACGCCTAGCTGTTGTGTCATGCTGTTCTTCCCAGTAAAGCGACAAGCTTGAGTCTCAGATTAGTTGCTATTTGGAGGGGATAGACATCTGAGCTTACATGCTTGACTGCTCTGAAGATGATTGTGGCCTTTCACAACCTCTGGTTACTCTCAGATGCAATTCACCCATGGGTGAGAGCCCTCCTTTCTAAAAATTATTAGTCATCAGAACGTATACACTTGCCCAGTGAGGCTCTGAGGGCAGCAGGGGGAACAGCAGGCCAGTGCAAGATCGATGCTGCAGGCTTGAATCAAGCTTGGATGTGGAGCGAGACACAGTGAATGGAGAAAGCAAGGCACTGTGGCAGAGATGCACCGGAGACAGTAGGGCTCCACCTAGCGCTATTAAACATGCCCAGTAACTGCACTGAGGCTTTAGGGGGGCCTGAATGCGCTGAAAGCTCAGCTCTTCTGCAGGGCGTCAGCCAGCTTGGTTACAGCCTGCAGGGTCTGCTACGTAACCCCTTCGGAGGACGTTGAGGGTGAACATGAGTATCTAGCTGGCATCTCAGACTGAAAGGTGAGCCCTTCTGCTTCTTTGCAGGATGTCCTGTGAAAACTTCCAGGAGCACTTTTCCTGGCTGTATATATGCAACAGTACCCCAACGTTTTTGGACTTTGGAGATCAGAACCGCACAACATGGACTGTGGACAGGCACATATCCCAGCAGAGTCCAGCGCTCACCGCAGGCAGGAACAACTATTCCCCTGGTAATAAATGCCCACTGCAATTACCCTGTCCTCTCTCATCTCTTCCTCCAGTGCTTACACTGAAACACTCACTTTGATTCCCACTCTGCAGAAATATTGATTGCCAGTTATTAATGCCTGCTCTTTCCCATTACAGCACCTATCAGCTAAAGAGGCAGAAACAAAGCAGCAGCACTGGCTGCTGAGTTAAAATAGAAGAGCTGTGATTTAGAAAACCTAAACTCTTTAAATTAAAATGTGCTTGTCTGTCTTTTTTCAGTCAATTACAGTAGGTGCTACTGGGGACCTCATTAGAAAGTCTGATCTGGCAACATATGTGGCTGGTCTCGCAGAGCAAGTAATATTCTGAAATGAATTTGATATGAAATGAAAGAATTCTGCTCCAAGCCTCTGTTTTGGAACACAGCAAATCCTTTGGGCAGATAAGACTCTTGGTTTTGCTGCCTGTGCCAGGACTATTTTGGCATTACAAGCTCTGATTATTATTCTTATTCTTATTATAGTTGCTATTGTTATCATTTTGTTTAATTTTACTCTTATTGCTGCTGCATTGCTTTAGGTGCTTTGTGATTTTAATCTAAGATGGTGGCATTTGGTCAATGAAGGGGCTGCTTTAGTCTGCAGTATTGATCTCTGACTCAGCAGCAGACAGGTTTATGCTTACAGGTTTCAGTCTTCTCATAACCCTGATCACCATCTCAGGGGATGATAATAAAACAGTGCATGTGATGCTGTGCACTGAAGACACAGGGACCCAGCAGAGCCCTGGCTGGGTGAGGAGGTGGAGGTGCTGAACTGAGAGCATGGGGAGGGGAGTCATTATCCTCAGAAATGTGTTTTGCCACTAACCCTCTAGTTGAGTTGATGTCTAGAAACAGTCTTGGGCTAAAATGCAGCTTTCAAAGCTAGCCAGCATGGCTACTGGCTTAAAGTCTAGACTGGTTTAAGCAGATGTTGCCACCTCATTCCTTTGCCCCCAGTTTGGGCATTTTGCTGCTATTTATCAGTGACGCTTCCTGTTAACCAAGAAGAAGCTGTTTCCTTCTGGCCCTCAACACTCTCTCTTTTCCATGACAAAAACTAACAGAAGGAGGGGGAGGGTAGTGTGGCCCATTTTATTTTTGTCTTCTATGTGCCTGTGATTTTCAAGCCAAGGTCCTTTTCTGCTCAGCCACTGGGTCTGCCCAGGGGTTGAAAGCCACTCTCTGCTGTCTCGAGGAAGGTATACCATGGAGGTGAAACACATGGTGAGGGTTTGGGAAATCTCCGTGATATTTATGACTTTGCCAGAGGTTTCCAGAATGATTAATGGCCAGTTAGTTTAACTCCAGATGCCTCAACTTCCCACTGATAATGCAGAGACTGCAGTGCTCTGTTCTATCAAAAGCATCTTGGAAAAGGAACTGCCTCTTCCTCTGGGTGTATATAAGCAAGATCTAACACAATAGACTACTAAGGGGACACCTAAGCACTATTATGTGACCATTACTAACATAATAACACTTTCTTAGCAGGTACGCTTTTGAGGAAGTCTCGGTATTTCTTCAAAGTGACAGATTATGACCCAAAAACCTATAATGTGGTCATTTCACTCATACAAAAACATGCTGCTAATACACTGGATGCACAGAAATTGAAGACTGGCTTTTTGATCTTCAGGGTAAGGCATCATGGACACAGTTGTTTTCCATGTGGCTTATTTTACCTATAAACAGAGATGAAGGAGTAAATTGCCTCTTAGGCTGTAAAAGGAGAGCGGTCGGTATTTTGAGAGAATTTCTGGATGCTTTCTATGTTAGGATGCCAAAGGGAAGGTGAGGTTAGGCGATCTCATCCCTTCATATCTCATCTTAACATTTCTTGAGTTTTGATCTCTGTAGCATCCCAAAATAGCCCCGGGAAACTCAGAGAACTGCCAGGTTACAGCAGATGCCAGGACAATGTCCTTTGTGCCCTGCAGCCCTGGTGAGATGCCTTGCTGGTGCAGCGCAAGGCATGACAACCCAGCACAAACCGCAGTGCTCCAGGCCAAGCAGGGGCAAGAACTGCCTCTTGCTCCCCCAGAATGGGCCTGTCTTACTTGTCCTGCCTTTTTCTGTCAAACAAACGCTGTGCAAAGCTGAGCACACTGGGTACGTTGGAAACTCAACAGCTCCCTTCACAACACCTATGGGAAGGCTTTACCCCCGTTCACTGCAGAGCCAAACCACGCCTTACCCAGCACCTCCACCACAACTTGTCTGGGGTTTTTACTTGGTGACCATACAGAGATGTGCCACTGCAAGGACAGTTATCGTCAGAGCGTTGCCAGGCTTGCAAGTGCAATTGCCAGTGCAGATGGATGCTAGCCTTTTCCAAAGTGTTTTTGTTGTCAGCTGCGGGGTGGGGGAGGACTAAACCTAAAGAATAAAAAGGAAGCAGAGACTGGTGTGATCCTAACTTCACGTTCTCCTGATCACAGGAGAGGTTTGCCCTAATCCCAGACTTTGAATAATTGATGCCATAACTCTAACAGCTATAGCTTTGTAGCTCGTAAAAAACAGTGGCAGTGTTCTCTCATGGGAAGTAAAAGGTATAATAAAAAGAGCATCCCTCCAGTGAGTGGAGTAACCTGTCTCTGTGCAAGGAGATCTTTTGCCTGGGGCAGGTATTAGCCCTGCAGGATGGCAAGGGGCTGACTTTGCCTGCCAGGGAATGGCTCCTGCTCCTGGTAAATGGGGAAATCACTCCTTCCAGGATCCTCACCACTAGTCCCCCAAGAGTCACCAGATACCGAGATCCCTCTGTGCTCTACCATGGTGCATGTCCACCTTGGTTAGTCACCCATTTTGAAAGAAATGACCCACTCGTGGGAGCTGATGGCAAAGTTCTCGGTTCCTTCAGAAAGAGGTAGTTGCCTAATCAGGGAGGCAGAATAGAGGACAATTTTGTTCTGCTCTTGTTTTGTATTTAAAACTTATTCTTCTTCTTTATTCCCCTCAAATTGATCCTTAGGTGTGTTCATTTAATTTTTTCTCTCTCTTAGTATATTCCCCAGGATGGGTGAAATATAGCGAGTATGTCAGCTCTGCCTGTCATGTCCTCCATGGGAGGTCAGCCCATGGCTCAGCTCAGGCTCAAGTCAAGCTTCTGATTCCCCTCATAAATATGCAATATTGCAGGACGTGTGAGAGCTGAATGGCAAGGCCAGAACGCGCCATTAACAAGGGCACCAGGACTATTGTGGGGTGCCTGGTTAATGAAGGAAGTGGATTGTCGTGCTGCTCTATCACAAAACTGACCACGCTATAGGTTTTAGTAATGTAATGATATTGGTACAAATCCACACAGCCGATTATACAGAAAATATTCCCACCTAGATAAAGCCTAAGCATTTTAACATGATAGCTGTAATACCAGCTCCTATTAGCCTGTCCAGCATACTGCCCCTGAGAGCAGTAAAGCTTCATCCGGAGTAGGTGTATGGTGGTATATTCGCTTGGTTTATTTTCCAACTTCTTGCATCAGTGCCTGAGGGCAACCAGCAGTGGTATCTTTGCACAGAAGTTTACACGGGTTTTCTTTGCACAAGGAGCGTGCAAGTGCTAAGATTCATGTGGCCCAAATCTTCCTCTCTCAGCAGCTTTTACCGCTGTTATTCATCAGCGGCGTTATTTATCACTCAATACCTTTTGAGATGCATCAAATCTTTTCGGCGAAGCAAAATGGATATTATCCCTTGGCAGGTTGAGAGGGGAATACAGTGCAGGCAAGGATGCAAAACTGAATGGACGTATCTGATACCTCTAGGAAGCCTTTGATTAAATATAGACATGAAACACTAATACATGGCTGTGAGGGAAGTTTAATGTTGTGTGATAGAGCTGAGCAATGTAGAGAGCCTATTTCTTATCTCTCACCAGTTTTGACTTCACTGAGATATTAATCTGCTTCTGCTTTTTACCAGAAGGAATGTGGAATGAAACCCAAAAGTAAAAAAGGATTTTGTGCCATTTATTCCTTTGCAACACCACCCGTTTCTATCAGCTGAAGATCTAACCCATAGTGCTTGGCAGTCTATACACCTCCCAACCCCTCTGTAACAGTAGTCATCTTTTTTTCTCCCAGAATAGCATTTTTATGTTATTTTCTCCCAAAGGCATGGCTCATAAATAACTCTGCCACGGTGTATAACCATTCTAAATGGAATTTATACACCCTGATATATTTTGGGGAATATGTTTAGTAAGGGTTTTTTATTATGCTATCTTTACATGTCATCATAGTAATAGCTGCTACACTGTATTCGTTTCATCTCAGCAAAAACACTGGAATAACAGAAGAAAGATGAGGCTATACTACTTTCTTACAACGCTTTGTAGAAGATTTGGGTTGAGATTCTTGAAGCTTTGACATCTGGGTGAGATGCTTTGTGAAGTTTCTGACCAGTCTGGGTCATACTGTTTCTCAAAGGAAGTTTTGTATTCGTCCTCGGTTCCTTGATGAACTCCAGTCTGCTGCGTGTTAATTGAAGTTGATTCCAAATCGACTCATTCCTATTTTGCCTTCTATTTCTTTCACTTCTTCCACCCTTGCGCAGTTTTGATGCATCCTGGGGTAGAGGCTGTATCCTAGGCAGGTTTTGCCTGCCACTAGGGAGGATAAGGCATCTTAGATCCAGTGTAGATTCAGAGATTTGTTGGAATGTAAGACTGCTGTGAGTACACTTACTGATTTACTTTGGTTCCTGACATGGAGGGGTGGATTGCCAGCTATATTTTTGTTTCAGGAGAATTCCAAGGTTCTGAAACAAGATTTTGCCCTGGCCCGAGATGTGACCAACTACTTTATCCTGAGCCCAGGAACGTATGCTGTCATTCCTGTTGCATCAGAAGACCAAGAATTTGAATTTCTCTTACGAATTTTCCTGAAGAATCAAGACTACAATGGGTAAGATGATGATAAGTACTCCTTATAGGCCCCGGACTTACAGCGTACCAGGATTTAACAATTGAATGTCAAGATAACTAATGTGGCAATTTGCTTTTAGCATTCTCTAGAAGTGCATTGGGAAGACAAAGCTGAGCGTTAAGTGCCCTGTTGAGGGGAATCAGATGTACACAATCAGATGTGTAGGGGTGGCCACCGCAGAACAGAGTAATAGCTCATCTGCAGTCATCAGGGGTCTCATCTTCAGTACAAACAGCCACACTTCCTAGGGCGCACAAGTGAGCAATAGTTGTGAGATATGTCCTGCCAGCTCATAGTGAAATCTCTCTTTAAGGAAAGGAGGACTGAGAGCTTGCTTTTCCTAACAGTCATTAAGTAGTGTCATAACTGTTGTGCCAGCTGGACCCCGTAAGGATCAGATCCCCACTCTCCTCAGGGTGGTGGAGAAGCAAAGACCAGTGAAAGGCTGTGATCCTGTGACCCAGTTACTTTGGGTAAAGTCATTACACAGACTGGCTGGTAGGACTGGTGTACGAGAGGTGCCTTAAAGGGTAAGTCTGATGGAAGAGTGTTATACTAGTAAACAGCTTCTACCAGATTTTTGTGTAAACATTTGGTTATGCTTTATCTAAAGGAGGAAACTGCAGCGCTCAGCGTTACCACACAGCTTCACGTGTCAGATACACAGTGGCTTGCTTTCAAGCAAGTTTTATAGTGGAGGTGATAACAGAGCTTACCTGATAGGCCTAATCTTAATAACGAGATTGTTTCCTGGGCATTGGCCTCTGACAAAAATATCACAGAATCAACTATGGCAACTGCTTAGTTTTGGAAAATAAATATGAGAAGACTGTCCTTTGGGCTAGACTGACTTCAGCGTGATGATTCGTGCATAGGACAGCTCAGCTCTGGGAGGTAGCTTTTTCCAGGGAAGTCTCCAACCCTTACACACATTCATGGGCAAGCTCCAGGGCAGCCCCAAGGAGACTGCATCCCCTTCCCACTGGTCTCAGTGGATGCTTAGCACTCAGAAAGCATCGGGAGTCTGGGCCTTGCTCTTCACACTGTCTTGGGGGACTGCGAGAGTCCCCTAAGCAGGTAGGCGCAACTACTACTCGTAGTTATGGCACCATGGCTCGTACTAAGGAGAAGGGAGGGCGAGCACTACACGCTGAGAGGGTGCTGTGTAGGCTACCATGTGTGGCACTATGTTCACTGTCTGGAGGCTGGCACCTTACAGGGAGCTCAGGGAAGCTCACAGATCTCTGGCTGGCCTAATTTCTTCACTGAAAGCAAACCTCAAAGGCTGAAGGCTGCTACTGAGTCAGCCTTAGTAGCAGCTGTAGGAATGATGCCCCTGGCTTAATTTTATGTAATCTGCAAACATTTAAAACATGTTGCGTTTTCATAGCCTGCATGCTCTTATTCAAGGAAGTGTTCAATTTTATTGTCATGACTGTTGAACTAGGTAAAGGGAAAACAAGTGACTTTTTTGTGTGGCTCAAGGTAAAGCAATCCTTGCTTCTGCTTGGCAAGATTAGTCCTGGCGTGCTCAATGGTGTGACCAGTCACCCGTTCTCTGCTGCTGGCCCCTGCCAGGGGCAGCTCAGGGAAGGTAATGGTGCCAGAGAGGTCAGAGACTCAGACCTGCTCATGTGTGGTTGCACAGGGAAACCTGGGAGAGGTATTACAGGTGTGACTGAACTATGACAGCCTGGGAGGCTTGAGTGCTGGGCACCTGGCTGGACCATGGACCAGGGGAAGCGGTCCTTGTCTGTGCCTGCCTCCCACCGCATCTACAAAGCAGCGCTCCAAAAAAGCCATTCTTTCCCAGTGTGACTCTTGTAACTCTTTTCTAGGGAGCCAGACTTCCCACTCAGCCCAGTGCTGCCACAGGTAAGAGGCTGTGAAAACTGATCTAGATACTGGTGGTGGTGAATGGTTCCCAGGGAGCTACCATGGCCAGGTTCTAGTGAAACTTTCTCTCCTTCCCTTCCCTGTACAACAGCCACTGCTCTGTGCTTGTCTCCTTTCACTGCCTGGTACCTGTCCTGAGTCCAGCTTTGGCACCCTTACCTTTCTGTGAGAGAGGGTGGCCAAGCTGAGATGCCTCTCTGGGATTCAGACCGAAGCCCTTCCTCTTCACATTTTCCTCTTTCATAACCTGGTTTCTTAAGGAAACAAAGTGTATACGGTCATTCTGCCAGCCTGTCAGTCTGTCCCTCCTGCCTTACAACCTATTGATCAACCAAATGTGGCAGGGGGGAAGAGTATTTCAAAGACATTAAATTCTTCCAGGGCCTGTAAAATGGGTATCCAGGGAGAAGAGAGGGGGAAACTGATGGAAGAGTCACAGCGTGAGTTTGACCCTTTTTAAAAAGAAGCCACACCTGAGATGGAGGGCATACATGTTCTCCCTGTAGGAACGACTTCATTTCAAGCTTGCACCTTATTAAGCACAGGAGATCACACAGGCTAGGCCCAAAGCAGATTTCTTCTGATTTTTCACCAGGATATCTTTACAGACCTAAGGGAAATTGCACCTGACAACTGGGTGAGCCTGAGTCTGTTCAATAGAGCCTGAGTCTATGCTGTGCTGCTGTCTTCCTGACGCTTGAAGCTAGGGTTGCTTGCAAAACTGTGCCTCTGCGTGGGCTGTTATTTATAGTAATGCAACCTGAGTGCAGGTCCTTGAAGCCAAAGATGTAAAACTGCTTCAAGAGAAGGGAAAATTGGGTCCTTTTCTTTTGATTCATTTTCCAGCCTGCAATTAAGGCCCATTAGTGAGGCAGTGTAAATGGTGGTTTATTATCCTTTCCACTGAAAAGCTGTCAGTTTATTTGCCCGGTGTCATTAACCAACGTTTTACCTTTGACAAATACAGCACCCATTGTTTCCGCTCCTGATCAAGCAAGTGGGCCTCAGTGGTGTGAATTATCTCGCACAGAGCTGAAGGAATACACCTGTCTGAGAAAGGATTACAGGGCTGGGACCTGAGCATCCTACTTGCTTTCTACCACTTCCACCAAGTGTCCCCCCGTCACCTGGCTGTCCCAGACTCCCCAGCATCACTCAGGTGCAGTCAAGCCTGCCTTAGAAGGGTGCTTAAAAGGGACTAGAGAAGGGAAAAATCCACAGCTGCTGTATTTGTTTGTTCACCTCATTATACCTTTCTTGGTGCATCTTCCTGGGCCTTGAGCCAGGGGTCTCAACTGATGGCTGTCAGTCAAGATCAGGCCTCGTATGTCTATTCTCATTTATTTACTTGCTGAACTCCGTCCCACCTGTTTTCTGTCATGCTCCTCAGATCTTGAGCTGCTCCCTGAATAATTGAATTACTCACGTGCGTACCTTTTCTTTGATCCAGAATGAACTAAGACTCAACCAAGACAGCCTCTATAAGACTATCTTCCTAAGATACGCTAATCAGGTACCTTATCTGCAACATCTTGATGAAAAATAAAAACACAAAAGGCATGTGGATTTGTAAAAAAAAAAAAACAAAACCCTAATCATTATTCATACCCATCCACTTAGAAAAATATTTTTTTGGAAATGTGTGTTTATCCTCAAGTGTATACCCTCGAAACAGTATTAATTCCTGTGCCAAAATCCCCAGAAAAATGGGACATTGAGCTGGAAGAGACTGGCTAGCCCCATATATCAGAAGAGGAGTGGAGATCTGTGGTGGTGCTGGTGGTGGGATTGCATGTGTGTATTTTTTTTTGTCTTTGGTTTGTTTCTTTACAAAAAAGCAGTTAGAAAGCTTCATCTATTCCCTCCTCTCATCAGCATCATTTTCCATTTGTCTTTACGGCATTTGGAAGCCAGACATCAGGCAATGTTTGAGTAATTGATTCCTGCTCTTTCTGAGCCAAACTGTTTGTGTTCACAGAGATGCTTTTAATGGTTTAATAAACTGTTATAAAGAACTCCTTGACTTAGTCAAGAGGAAAAAAATCACCGCCAAAAGTCTTTGCACAATAGACTTCTTGTAGTTACTAGTTATATCAATGCATTAAGGTGAAAATGGCACAGGCTGTCACGCAGAATGCACTGGAAATGTCTTGCACGGGGAGGGAGACTTTTGTACAACGGTGGACCGGGCAGCTGGAAGGCGATAGTGCCCGTCTTCTCAGCTCACTTACTCAGGTACCCGGATGTATGTGTGGAGCAGCAGCTCCCCGGCTTGAGGCCAGTGAAAAGGATGCCATTGAAAGTAGGCAAGCGTTGCCATCACCACTGACAGCAGAGATGCAATCCTGTGGTGATGGGAGGGCTTGTAACTTCCCTCCAGACCCTGGCAGTAGAGAATGGCAGGTGGCCCCACGGCATGGAGGGCTTGGTTTGCAGCTCCTCTGACATGAGCAGAGCTCCTTCTGAGCTACCACAGTGCATGAGTGAAGAAGTTTGAGGCAAAAGTGAAGCAGGAGAAAACCTTATGGTCACAGACCTCTCTTTCTGTTTTATTCTGCATTAGGGCTCAACAATTGATGCCTCACAGCTGCAACAACTCCTTAATGAAGAGGTCCTGCAAGGTAAAGCTTTTACAACCCAGCTAATGTCTTTTGACATTTCCCTATCGTTCTTCTAGTGTAAATTAGATAGAGGATTTAGCCGTATCCTGATGTTCCTCAAAAAATCCTCAGTGTGGCTTATTGCACTGTTGGAGCCTGAAGAACGAGGAGTGCCTCCACCATGGCTCCTTTATACTCACAACAGTTTGGTTTTTTCCAGAAAAAAAGAGATACTATCACTCACATGAAGAGGGCGATGCAACCCAGCCCAGCTGCCAACAGACTCTTTAGTGCATGGCTGCCAGCAAAGTCATGTGTTTGTGCCTGCACAACTGCTGAATTGCACCTTCTCCCCCTGGCTCTGCCCTATGGTCTGTGAGCAGTGCCATGGTGGCCTCTGCCCCGTGACATCGTGCCTACCCTGCCCCATGCTGCGATGATGACCTTCTCCTAGACACCCCACAGCCCCTTGCTAGCCTCCCCGACCAGCTTCAGCCCCTCTAATTCCAGCAGGAGCTCGGTCCCTGGCAGGGCTGCAGCACCGAGCGCAGCACTGGGCAGCTGTGTCCCCCGCTCTCCTTGCTGCATCCCGATCCCCCTCAGATCCACTGTGGTCTGCAGTGCTCCTCTGCTGATGCGTAGGGCTGACTCTCAGCACTTCCCACGCTTCCTGACCTGCCCACTCCAAATACAGCATGTGACAGGCACAGCCTGAGAGCTCAAACCAGTTCAGTCATGCACAAAGCTCAGAGTGCTCTCTGGCTCGCTAATTCAGCATAAGTAGCCTTTCTTATCACTGCTATTTCATCGGTCCATATTCCCGCAGGGAATAGCTTCCATCAGGGAGGCAGGTGGATGCAGGATGTGCAGACTAACTGTGAGTCTAAGCTGGGCAGCTTTCCTTGGGGCTGGGAGCATTGCTGATGTCTGAGATGTGTCAGGCTCCTTTCATGGATCTACGCCTGACTTGTTGCCCTCTCTGCTGATTCAGAGCCTGAGCCAGGTCCTGGGGTTTTCCAGGAACATGGTCCTGCAGATTGATGTCCCCCTTCCCTCTGAACAGTGACCTGGAGGTAGGGTGCTCAGCCAGCAAGGGAATGGTGCCTCTCCCACCCCCCTCACTCCCTCTGATTTCTTCTGTTTTGTCAATCCTTGCAGATGAAATGGCCATCCTGGGAGGAAGATTCAGCTTCGATTCGTGTAGAGGCATTTTAGCTCTGATGGATGTATCCTTTCAGCAGAAGCAATAAACTTCCCCAGCATTGCCCATCCTTGCCTTGAGTTATGGCTGAGCTGAGCATCCCAGTGTGAGAACCTGCAAGTAAATATTAGCCACAAGCCTCAATAGATAACTGTTCCAGAGTCTATGCAGGACTTTGCCATGCGTGCCCCGGCTCTGAGAGCATCTCTGTTGAAAGACAGAGCTCAGCCTCCAATTTGAAAGCTACTGCTACCAGTAGACATTGTCCCTCTGATTTTCCCCTCTGTGGGCGTTCACCCTCAGGCTTGGGGTCCCAGGCTGAGCTTGGGGTGAGGAGGCAGCACAGAACCCAGACACGGCTCGGCTCTCCCACCATGGCTGCACCCACACCCGCCTCTGAAGGCCGCAGGCCAGCGCTA